CTCCCCCCTCCTCCTCCCCCCCCCCCCCCTCCTCCTCCTCCCCCCTCGTTCCTCCCCCTTCCCCTCTCCTCCTCCCCCTCCTTCTCCTCCCCCCTTCCCCCTCCTCCTCCTCCTCCCCCCTCCCCCCTCCCCCACCCCACGTTGCTCTCCGCTAACAAGTGAGATGGCGTCTATTGGCCCCCGCGCCGCTGCCCACCGCACGCTCGCCACGAGCAACTCACCCGAATATCTTCGCCAGCTGATCGACATCGGAGCCTCCGGGGAAGAGAGGCCTGCGTTGAGGAGAGACGAGGGGGTCACCTGACGCGACGTCGCTGAGAATAATAACACGTCGTCGTCGTCATCGTCGTAACAACAACGATTTAATGGGGGAGAGGTGGACCCACGGGGGCATCTGCCGGAGTCTGTCCCTTGACCTTCACGCGCTCCGTAACGCGCACCGATCCTGGCACGGGCGCCGTGGCGACGCCACCCTGCCAGGCCTGTGGTGACATTGCGTGGGTTGGTGGGTTGGTGGGTGGGTTGTTGAGTGGGTTGGTGGGTGGGTTGTTGAGTGGGTGGCTGGCTGGGTGGTTTGTTGGATTGGTGGGTGGGTGGGTTGTTGAGTGGGTGGCTGGCTGGGTGGTTTGGTGGGTTGGTGGGTGGTTTGCTAGGTGGGTGGGTGGGTTGCTAGGTGGGTGGGTGGGTTGCTAGGTGGGTGGGTGGCTGGGTGTGTGGGTGGGTTGCTAGGTGGGTGGGTTGCTAGGTGGGTAGGTGTGTGGGTTGCTAGGTGGGTAGGTGGGTGGGTTGCTAGGTGGGTGGGTGGGTTGCTAGGTGGGTGGGTGTGTGGGTTGCTAGGTGGGTAGGTGGATGGGTTGCTAGGTGGGTGGGTGTGTGGGTTGCTAGGTGGGTAGGTGGGTGGTTGCTAGTGGGTGGGTGGCTGGGTGTGTGGGTGGGTGGGTTGCTAGGTGGGTGGGTGGGTTGCTAGCTGGGTGGGTTGCTAGGTGGGTGGGTGGCTGGGTGGTGGGTGTGTGGGTTGCTAGGTGGGTGGGTTGCTAGGTGGGTGGGTGGGTTGCTAGGTGGGTGGGTGTGTGGGTTGCTAGGTGGGTAGGTGGGTGGGTTGCTAGGTGGGTGGGTGGCTGGGTGGCTGGGTGTGTGGGTGGGTGGGTTGCTAGGTGAGTTGGTGGGTTGGTGGGTGGGTTGCTAGGTGGGTGGGTTGCTAGGTGGGTGGGTTGCTAGGTGGGTTGGTGGGTTGCTAGGTGGGTGGGTTGCTAGGTGGGTGGGTGGGTTGCTAGGTGGGTTGGTGGGTTGCTAGGTGGGTGGGTTGCTAGGTGGGTGGGTTGCTAGGTGGGTGGGTAGGTTGCTAGGTGGGTGGGTTGCTAGGTTTGTGGGTTGCTAGGTGGGTGGGTTGCTAGGTGGGTTGCTAGGTGGGTGGGTTGCTAGGTGGGTGGGTTGCTAGGTGTGTGGGTGTGCGGGTGGCGGTGCTCAAGGAGCACCTGCGTGTAAACATCTCAGCTAAGATGCAGCCGACGCTCCACAGGTCGGCGGCCGGGCCACAGGTCACCCGCAGCAGCAGCAGATCCGGGGCGCGGTACCACGACGGGGACACCTACAGCGGCAGCACACACAAAGACAAAGATCCCCCGTGTAGCCTTCACACACCGTAGGGGCAAGTGCCCTTAGCGAGCACCTATGACGGCCGCCTTTGTCTCCCCGGTGGCGATGTTTACCGCGCACCGCACCAGGTACTCATTTGAGGCTGAGTAAACCTAGGGGAAGCCTGGACCGGTTAAAATAATCATTGCCGGGTTCATAGCGCAGCGTAGCGCTAACCGCTGCACTAACCAGCAACACCGGATTAACAAGATGTTCACCCTTAGGCGCTCTCACCCAACAAACACATTTACAGGGTCTCCGCTACTTACGAAGGAGTTAGGTTCCAGAGGTCTGTCGCTGTTGTATAATCTCCTGCAAATGTAGATGCCACTGGTTCTTCATGTTCTGTAGATGCCACTGGTTCTTCATGTTCTGTAGATGCCACTGGTTCTTCATGTTTTGTAGATGTAGATGCCACTGGTTCTTCATGTTCTGTAGATGCCACTGGTTCTTCACGTTCTGCAGATGTAGATGCCACTGGTTCTTCACGTTTTGCAGATGTAGATGCCACTGGTTCTTAGCGTTCTGCAGATGTAGATGCCACTGGTTCTTAGCGTTCTGCAGATGTAGATGCCACTGGTTCTTCACGTTCTGCAGATGTAGATGCCACTGGTTCTTCATGTTCTGCAAATGTAGATGCCACTGGTTCTTCATGTTCTGCAGATGTAGATGCCACTGGTTCTTTGCATTCTGCAGATGTAGATGCCACTGGTTCTTCACGTTCCGCAGATGTAGATGCCACTGGTTCTTCACGTTCTGCAGATGCCACTGGTTCTTCACGTTCTGCAGATGTAGATGCCACTGGTTCTTCACGTTCTGCAGATGCCACTGGTTCTTCACGTTCTGTAGATGTAGATGCCACTGGTTCTTCACGTTCTGTAGATGTAGATGCCACTGGTTCTTCGCGTTCTGCAGATGTAGATGCCACTGGTTCTTCACGTTCTGCAGATGTAGATACCACTGGTTCTTCACGTTCTGCAGATGCCACTGGTTCTTCACGTTCTGCAGATGTAGATGCCACTGGTTCTTCACGTTCTGTAGATGTAGATGCCACTGGTTCTTCACGTTCTGCAGATGTAGATGCCACTGGTTCTTCACGTTCTGTAGATGTAGATGCCACTGGGTGTTCACGTTCTGTAGTTGTAGATGCCACTGGTTCTTCGCGTTCTGCAGATGTAGATGCCACTGGTTCTTCACATTCCGCAGATGTAGATGCCACTGGTTCTTCACGTTCTGTAGATGCGACTGGTTCTTCATGTTCTGCAGGTGTAGATACCACTGGTTCTTCAGGTTCTGCAAATGTAGATGCCACTGGTTCTTCACCTTCTGCAGATGTAGATGCCACTGGTTCTTCACCTTCTGCAGATGTAGATGCCACTGGTTCTTCACGTTCCGCAGATGTAGATGCCACTGGTTCTTCACGTTCTGCAGATGTAGATGCCACTGGTTCTTCACGTTCTGCAGATGTAGATGCCACTGGTTCTTCACCTTCTGCAGATGTAGATGCCACTGGTTCTTCACGTTCCGCAGATGTAGATGCCACTGGTTCTTCACGTTCTGCAGATGTAGATGCCACTGGTTCTTCACCTTCTGCAGATGTAGATGCCACTGGTTCTTCACCTTCTGCAGATGTAGATGCCACTGGTTCTTCACATTCGCAGATGTAGATGCCACTGGTTCTTCACCTTCTGCAGATGTAGATGCCACTGGTTCTTCACGTTCTGCAGATGTAGATGCCACTGGTTCTTCACGTTCTGTAGATGTAGATGCCACTGGTTCTTCACGTTCTGTAGATGCCACTGGTTCTTCACGTTCTGCAGATGTAGATGCCACTGGTTCTTCGCGTTCTGCAGATGTAGATGTCACTGGTTCTTCACATTCCGCAGATGTAGATGCCACTGGTTCTTCACGTTCTGCAGATGTAAATGCCACTGGTTCTTCATGTTCCGCAGATGTAGATGCCACTGGTTCTTCATGTTCTGCAGATGTAGATGCCACTGGTTCTTCACGTTCTGCAGATGTAGATGCCACTGGTTCTTCATGTTCTGCAGATGTAGATGCCACTGGTTCTTCACGTTCTGCAGATGTAGATGCCACTGGTTCTTCACGTTCTGCAGATGTAGATGCCACTGGTTCTTCACATTCTGCAGATGTAGATGCCACTGGTTCTTCACGTTCTGCAGATGTAGATGCCACTGGTTCTTCACATTCCGCAGATGTAGATACCACTGGTTCTTCACGTTCTGCAGATGTAGATGCCACTGGTTCTTCACGTTCCGCAGATGTAGATGCCACTGGTTCTTCACGTTCTGCAGATGCCACTGGTTCTTCACGTTCTGTAGATGTAGATGCCACTGGTTCTTCACGTTCTGTAGATGTAGATGCCACTGGTTCTTCACGTTCTGCAGATGTAGATGCCACTGGTTCTTCACGTTCTGCAGATGCCACTGGTTCTTCACGTTCTGTAGATGCCACTGGTTCTTCACGTTCTGTAGATGTAGATGCCACTGGGTCTTCACGTTCTGTAGTTGTAGATGCCACTGGTTCTTCGCGTTCTACAGATGTAGATGCCACTGGTTCTTCACATTCCGCAGATGTAGATGCCACTGGTTCTTCACGTTCCGCAGATGTAGATGCCACTGGTTCTTCAGGTTCCGCAGATGTAGATGCCAACACCACCGCCATCTATTGCGTGTGGTGGTTGAACTTACCGCTCTCAGTCCGAGCAGGCAACTGGACGTACGGGACCAGGTAGTTCGTTTGCTCTGAAAGTCCCCAAGTCGAACGTTCGTACGTGGGGGAGTCCCCGTGTTACGGACACCCTGCCACATCAATCTCTCTACTCACCACACATCTCTCTCTCTGCCTCACCACTCATCTCTCTCTCTCACCACTCATCTCTCTCTCTCACCACTCATCTCTCTCTCCACTCACCACACATCTCTCTCTCTCACCACACATCTCTCTCTCTGCCTCACCACTCACCACTCTCTCTCTACTCACCACACATCTCTCTCTCTCTGCCTCACCACACATCTCTCTCTCACGCCTCACCACACATCTCTCTGCCTCACCACACACATCTCTCTCTCTCTCTACTCACCGCCGGGGTGGGAGCCGTGCTCGCGCTGTCCAAGAGGAAGCGTCTGAACCCCCAGCCGGCGATCTTGACGCGCCCCGAGGCCGTCACCAGGACGCTGCGTGGCGTGAGCTCGCCGTGCTCCAGGCCGTGGCCGTGCAGGTAGCGCAGCCCACACAGCAGCTGGCGCGTCACCGCCTGGGCACAGAGACTCATAGAGACTCATAGAGACACACGTGGTCGTGCAGGTAGTGCAGCCCACGCAGCAGCTGGCGCGTCACCTCCTGGGCACGGCGCAGCGACACGCAAGGAGATACACAGAGACTCGTAGACACTCATAGAGATACACAGAGACCCATAGAGATAGGGGGGTAGGGAGTGAGTGACGGGGTGGGGGGTGGTGGCACCTTGATGTGGTGGGACGGTGTGTGGGGCGACGTCCCCAGGTAGGTGGACAGGTCCCGGTCCACGAGCTCAAAGGCCACGGCGAGCCGCGCGTCGCCCTCGCCAGGATCCACGCCGAAGTCCAGCAGCCTGCACGGCGGCCGGGGGTCGAGGCGACATCCAAGTGTCACGTGAGGTTACATCCGGGTCGTTGACGGATTAAAACTCTGTGGTAGTAGCTTTTAACCCTTTTAAACTGGTACAAAACTGACAACCTTTATACAAGGCATCATGTTTGCAATAACCACAACACAAGTAGTCAAAAATGCAAACAAAAAGAAACAACTCTGATAATGATAATAATATGCACTGTTCTTGAAGTTGATTGGCCCACACCTGAGACAGCTTTTCTTAGAGCCTAGTCCCCATTGGTGTTGGACCAGATGACACCAGAAGGCGTACAATTCAAACACAGCGCACTATCAGAGTATTGAGAGCTCGGGGTGAAGCATTTACACTATGAGACATTATTATCATTATCAGAGTTGCTTCTTTTTGTTTGCATTTGTGACTACTTGTGTTGTGGTTATTGCAAACATGATGCCTTGTATAAAGGTGTCAGTTTTGTACCAGTTTAAAAGGGTAAAAACCTACGACTATATTTTGCCGCTGCTAAAGGAGTTCTCATAGTGGATCACACCTCGTCACGGTGATTGGCTCTGCCGGTCCTGGCCCACAGCCAATGGGGGGAAGCCTAGGGCCGTGGCCCTGACGTCATGAGAAGGTGACAGCTGTAAGGAGATGATTGGCCCTGCTGGCTTTAGCCACAGCCAATGGGGAGACGAGTTAGGGGCGTGGTCCCGGGAGCCTACGATGGAGTCTGGAAGATTCCATGGAGGCTAACCAGGATTGGTGGAAACGTACCACGTGACCCGGGTATTAAATAGGAGGGCGGCAGACCGGGTAGACAAACGCATTTCAAAAACAGGGGGCGCTCCTCCATCGGCGGTGGAGACGGCGACAACGTAAGGCGAGTTGACACCAAGACACGAAGACCGTGGAGGATTGGAGGACGGAGGCTGACGCGGTGACGATTGCGAGGGATCGCGAGGGGGCGCCAGGAGGGGTGGGAGAGACACCCACCTCACCACGTTGGGGTGCTCCAACTTCATGAGCTGCAGCAGCTGCTGCAGCTGCCAGGTCTCCCCCTCCCGGCCCCGGCCTGTCTGCAGGCGCAGGCCCTTGAGCAGCGCCACAAAGCGGCCCTCGTCTCGCAGGTCGCGAGCCTTCAACGCCGTCGCGGCCCCGTAGACCCCAGCGCCCAACTCGGCCACCGCCTCGTACTGCTGCTCCATGTCCGCCGCCCCGAAACGCTTCCAGCGCAGACGCCGCCGCTAGCAGCAGCAGCAGCAGCGATCACACAGAGACGCAAGAGAGACAGAGAGAAGCAGAGAGAGAGAGAATTGTCACAGAGGGTCACAGATACAGAGAGAGTCACAGAGAGAGTCACAGAGATTGTCACCTAGAGGGGAAATGAGCGCAGACTCCGCCGGTCACGTGGATGTCCTCTGCTGCCGGAAGTCCGCCCGCCACCGCCGCTAGCAGCAGCAGCAGCAGCGATCACACAGAGACGCAAGAGAGATAGAGAGAAGCAGAGAGTCGCAGAGAGAGACAGAGAGAATTGTCACAGAGGGTCACAGATACACATCGAGGGTAAATGCACCTTTACATCAGCCGCACCTAGTTTACACAACAAAGGCTCATTCCTAACAGCGTGCTTCAGCCGCACCGAACCTCACAACAATAATATCCAGGGCCTACTTTGGCTCCTCCCACCCTCAACCAGTATATATACAAGGACTGTGTTCTTGGAATTTCTCTCACTTGATGCAGCTGTCGTGGCTGTGACGGTTCCACCTGAAGACTGAAGCTTGTGTTGCCTCCGAAACGTTATTTTATTTTACTTTTGTTAATTTAAATTTTTTACCTACATGACTTTACCGAAAAAACCTAAGAATATGAATCCTTGCAGTCACGAAAGCTTCAAATCTAGAATTAAATGGGCGAGGTTAATGACTGTGGCTCATGCACCTGCAATGGCTGCTTTGGGTACACAGTTCAGACCTCCCCAGAGACCCTGGCTGACAGAGGAGGTGTTCAGGCTGGCTGAGAAAAATCAACAGGCCCACTCTCATAGTCTACAGCATCCCACGTCAGAGAATGAGGCTGACCGCAGCCTTCGCTCGGAGGTTCTGAGAGCCGTGAGGCGCTGCAATGATGGGTGGTGGTCGCGGGTTTCTGAGGAGATGGAATCTGCCTCAGTAGCCCGTGATCAGACATCGCTGTTTAATTCCATCAAAAACGTAAATTGTAGTGCCACACCTATCACCGTCATTAGGGGAAAGAATGGTGATCCAATCTCCGATCCCCCCAGGAACAGGTTTGTAGATTTGCAAAGTGGGGATGACACTGCTGAGGCTGCGGTGCCTCAAATATTGGAAGAAGTCACCCCCTGTGAGTGACTGGCTGAGGTGCCATCTGTTGAGGAAGTCCTGAAGGAGATCCAGAGTCGAGACCAGGAAAGGCACCAGGCAGAGATGATCACCCAAGGGAAATTCTAGACAGACCAGCCTAAACATTTAGGCTGGCCTGTCTATGATCCATCTTAACCGGTGGAGCTCACAAATCCTTGAAAGATCTGGACAAAGTCCTATTGGTGAGCTCCTCCGGCAGGCAAGGCTGCGTTGGCTGGGTCATGTAACCCGCATGCCCAGCCACCGCATGCCTAAACAGATTTCGTTCGGCCCGTTTTTTTTGGTTTGCCATGTTTGTTGATGTACAGAGTTAGACTGATGGCCTTAATCTAAGTTGTCTTGTGGTTGTTGTTGTTTGACTTGCATCCCACTGGGATTTTTGCACACAGCGTTGGTGTAACGGTACTTTTTCTGCAATATTTTGGTCTTTTCTTAGATTTTCTGTTTGCACTTAGTCACATATTCACTTTAAGATGTTTTCTTGTTCATGTTTTTGTTTTTTGTTTGTTGCGGTTGCACCCGATTCAAGAGCCGAATGGCTCACAGGGCTATACGTAATACATGAACTTGAACTTGATAGAGGGGCGTCATGGTTGGGATCGAACCCACGACCTTCTGTAGACCAGGCGAGGTAGTTAACATCTCTACAGGGTCGCGATCGAACCCACGACCTCCTGTAGACCAGGCGAGGTAGTCAACATCTCTACAGGGTCGCGATCGAACCCACGACCTCCTGTAGACCAGGCGAAGGAGTTAACATCCACCTAGTCACCGTGACGCCCACGGATTCTGATTAAATGATCTCGACTTAGACATTAACATGAATGTTACATTCCACGGGTGGATTGACCAACACAGTTTAGACCCCTCAACTGTTCCACAAAGACCACAGGGGATGGTGGTGGGGGGGGTATCCGGACCACTGACTTGTTGTGAGCTGTGTCTTATCTCACGTTAGTAGTGACGTAGTTGCTGGTTATGGACGCAGTCCCCGACGGTCCAGTATAGCGTTTGGAAACATACTACCACGCTGAAGTGTATCAGACAGAGCTATCAGGTTCAATGATATACACAACTCGGAGGAAGGAGTCGCGTTCCGTACCAGACAATTTGCGACGTGCCGGCCGGTAGGACTTCGGCAGTATTGATATGAGAAGCAGGGGAGGAGTGCGGCAAGCTTCGCTTCAGGGACCACGAAATTTAAATAACGTTTGCACAATATCACCGGGAAATACTAGTGCGGATCTAGTATCGCCATCCGTGATCTAGTGTTCAAAGTTATCGCTAGCTATGACCATGGGATCGTTCATATGGCCACTATGCATGCTGTCCTGCCTTAAGTGGCAACTCAGGTTAAAAACCGTATTACATCGGTTTTGCTTAAATTTTCCGTAAGAATGCGCTTTTTAAATATTATGGATAGGACCGAGAATCCCGTGTATCTTAACCACGTGTGCGCTATAATTATGTGGCCGCGCGCGATAGGCCATATCGCTGTTCGTCAGCAAGGCATGCGAGCTTCGAACGCTGGGTTTCGGTCACAACGTGATTCCAGAATACCGCCTATTCACATGCCGACTATCCAGTAATCCTAAAAAGCAACAGGACCGATCTAGACCACCATCCCGTATGTCATCACATTTGGAGCCAAGCTTAAAGCAAACTCTTGGCTTGATGAAAAATCATCACCCCCGGAGTCTTCACCATGCTCGGACATACGGTTTCATAGGATCTCAATGTCTCGTCACTTATCCATCCTATGTACTTTCGTGACGTTGTTCATGGTACATTCACCCGAATTCCGTGGACCGCCTCTGCAACCCCGTATAAAGCTCAATTTATGGGTTATTCACGCTGCTTCTGGCGTAAGTCCCCGTGTATGCCACAGGGATACAAGGGGAGTACCTGCGACATGGAATGGTTCCAAGTCGACGGCTTCTGTCTGAGTGTCGTAGCGCTCAAGTCATGGATGTGGGTTGGATCTCATTTGCCGACGGAAGCCTACTAATTTATCGCTTTTTCCGTGCTCTGATAAAATATTGGTCTTCCTTATGGAGTTCACATCCCTTGACCCCTTCGTGCTGAGTTGGTACTGCCTGTCCCGCATCCAGATCACGTCTGCGTAATCCCGTAGTCCCGTAAGCCGCGAACACCTTTCGCAGAATTAGCAATCACATTATCCGTTATACGCCAACCATCGTCACGTGAGTATAGGGGATTCCTCTATCATCGTCATTTAATAAACACTGAAGCACGTCGAAATAATTAGTTTCCATCATCTTCCGGACCGCAGCACCTAACTAAATCCGATGTGATGGACGCATGATGTAGAAGCACCCGCTACATCTCATTGAACCCTGTAAGGGAAGGAGGGTTATGAGCCCCAACGCTGGTTGATGCAGTGAGTAACTTGGGTGCAACCCGAATGGACTCTCATGCAATCGGCATGTTCATTCTCATGGTACCTAGGTCAAGACATATAGTCTCCGGTTCTTCGGCGTTCCCGTATAGTGTACGATGGTGGCTTCATGACTATTCTGGAATGTTGACCCTGACGTCGTTTTTGTTAATACAGCAGGAATGTTAAAACCCAGGTTGGTTTATCTAGGGCAGTCGGACGAGCGGAGTTGCGTCCCGGAGGATAGGCGAATGGGATATTGCTAGCGGGTTTGGACAATGTGCTTTGAACCTGAGAGACCTGTTAAGATAAGCGATCCGGGACGAGCTCCGATGCATGACGAAAAACCCGTAGTCGGTACATTTGATTTCGAAGGGGGTCTAAAATCACGCCGAACCCCGATTTAATGAATATCACGCTACTTGCTCCCGGTCACTCCAGCATCACTTGCTTCCGGTTCTGTACGTTACTCCGTTGGTGCTCATAGTGCCAATACTACCCGATAGAATCGCATCCCGGTCTACGTGGTTCGCGACCGGTTTTAATAAGGAAGGACAGTCCAATCGACTCGACGGCGAGCTCACCCCTATCTGATCGTTGAGATTTGTACAGCTAGTCCTGGGTCCATCATCGCTTCAATGGTAGCGTCTCCCACGAATAGTTTTTGACCTTGGCGAAGGCTAAGTGGTACTTCTCTACGTAGTTGAAGTCGGGTCATTTTTGATTTGAGCGTACTCTCACTGCTGCCTGGCGCCCCTTATAAATCGCAGTGACACGGAGACCGCCGTATTAAACCGTTCCACCGCCTTCCCTGGGGTGCGTGATGGATTGTCGATATAGGAATGCCTCATGTGGAGCAATAGGTTAATATAACCTACTCTTTTTAAGGACAAGGTAGGCCTAATATCGCGCTTTGCCGTAGTACACCTGAGGCTTGGGAGAATGGAGCTTGGTGGGTAAAATATGCAGGTAGCGTAGCGCAGAAACTCTTAAAGTCGAGACGCTCCCCCGAGAGTAACGATGTGTCCTGACGGTTACTGCATATGGGGAGTTCCCCGCTGTCCCAATCCCCTCAGAGGTACTGTGGGCATTATGGTCACGGTGTATCATAAGGATCCCCTCCAAATTTGCTGCCATCCCAGTTGACGTGGGCATTATCCCAAAGCCGAACCGCTAAGTTTCCTTTCCATAGACGCCGCGATCCGCATGCCTATGAATTATATACCTTAGGCACATGGTACCGTGTGCAAACCGACAGAACCCTTAATTGCGCAGCTACGGCAACCAGCGGATTACTATTATAGTCGGCGCTCCACTATCAGATCGGTGAAATTTTGTGCACTGGATGGGATCTCGAGGGACACTCTCTAGAGGCGAAACTTCTATGGCCGGTTTGACTGGTCTTCTTCAGACGTTACATTGT